CAAGACACAGGAACCTTCTTATGACAGCATAGAATAATGGTGACCAGCTCGAACTTGCACATAATAAACTCTTTTCGTCTATTCGCAAGTTTTATAATACGAAAGGAATCGAGAGAAAAGAGTTCCCACCTTTTTATGTTTTAAGAATATGTCAGACAAGATGAACCTCTGAAAATGCAATATTCAGATAGAACAAAATCTAGAGAAAAAGGTGGAACCAAATTTTTTTTTCAAACGACGTATTCAGTTTTTTCAAACATAATTTTTACTGTCGTACATTTTCATGGAACATCCAAATGTTGTGACTGGTTAAACATTTTTCATTTAAAATTCATGTTTCACGTCGCATAATGCCTTCTGAAATCGTAACTTTAGTAATAACACAAGAAGACCTCACAAGCGCATTCCCAAAATCAATATTGGATAGAAATTTATTTGGAATTGTGCTTGAGCCTGTTTACTTTCACTTTATCCATTTTCTGTTCGTGATGAATCTCTTAAGAAACTTTGAAACTTGAAGTCGTGCTTTCAAATTATCTTCGTTAATTTCTTACAATTAAAGAATCTATCCCTTAAAGTGCATGCATTTTCTGGCTAACTTCTGCGACATTATTGCTTTTTCTAAACTCATAAAACAACACATAAAGATCAAGTTTCTATGTTAATTGAATCATACTTTGAGAAGATAATTTATTGTTTAAAATGATACGAATATATTTCAGCATGCATTGGTGTCATTTAGGCATTTTGCAATATCAAAAGAAATTTGAAAAATTAACAAAATTTTAACTATGTTAAGAGGTTCGTCTTCTCTATGCCTCTTCAGGATGTTGCTGATCATTGCTCTCCACACTTTCTTGTCCTTTTCGCTCTTAACAGATTTTGTCTTTTTCTTATCTTTCATAGACTTTACTCCACTGTCCATTAACTCAAGCTTGCTAGGTAGGTTATGCATTTTTTTTTACATCTATCCCTCTGTCCTTCAAATTTTACAAGCCCTCTTTCCTTATCAGGTGCCCTAGAAATTTCAACTGTCTCCTCCTGATTCTAAGTATAAGTGTTATTTTTGTTTCCATTCTCTCTAAAACTTTGTCGTTGCTCACATGTTCAATCCATGGCATTCTCAGCATCCTTCTGTAGAACCATATCTCAGCTACTTCAAGTCTCTTCTTCACTTGTGAGGAGATTGTCAAGAATTCAATACCATATAGAACTGATATTACATAACAGTACAGTACTCTTCTCTTGGTTTCTAACGATTTTTTTCTGTTTCTTAATACTCTGCTTAGCTTTTGAAAGGCATATTTCGCTACCGCAATGCGCCTTCGTATTTCAGTGTCACACTATCTATTCAAATTTTTTTATTTGTTTGATTTCGATATCTCCAATTTGTAATTTTTATGTTGGCCTGTTCCTTTTTCAGTCTTTTCTGCCTCTTCATTGATGACCAATTTTTAAAATGTTTATATATTCTTTCTTGTGAAATTTTCTATTTATTTTAAAATTGTAACCATAGTTATTTGTTTTTCTCCTCATTTTGTCATAATCAATAAGTTAATTTCACAGACTATTATTGTTGTAGTCATTCAACATACATTCTCTGCACGCGTGATCGTACTCGACTACAGTAAACCTCTTAAATAATAAAACAATTTTTTCTCCCTATTTTTTCCATTAACTATGCTTCTTAATATAAACAACGGTAACTTATAATTTTAAATATAATTTTTAAACAAAAAGTTTTTGATCGATAATATTCTGAAATCTAAGAGATAGCATTTAGTTATTAATTTATTTCGACTATCATTTCTTTCATCTTATTGTTCTTTTTATAACAATTCTTTAAAACGATATATTTTCCATTGTGAAAGTAATCCATGTGAATAGGAAATAAAATATTAACCACCGAATTTACGCCATATTATATATTTCCTATCTAGTAGCAGTCGTTGCATAAGTAGTACGGCTTAACTTTCTGTATTATTGATGAAGAATTTTTATTTGTGACGATATTTTTCAGTAACACAAATAAAATAAATATCATCCGACAATACTTGAATACTTACAGAGACAACGGTCTAGCCGATTTGGCTACACAGAACCCAAATTCATATAGAAATATTTACGGTATATTTTTGTTTACTATCCAGCAGGAATAGGAGAAATAGCAGTCTTAAGTTTTCTTAATTATCATATGAATAAATTTCCATTATAATTTCATCTTTAATTTTGACGAGCTTTTCCTTTATTTTGTTGTTGTATTTTATCTCGGCTTAAACAACGTGAACCGGAAAAAAGTAACTGGAGATCAAATACAAAGTAGAAACCAAAAATTAATAAGACACTTTTACAATGTAAGCAGTTTTCTTAGCATTCAGTTTAAACTGAGATTGCATTTGTCTGCATAGTGGATTTACTTATGGTTTACTTTTTGTTAACTCATTATTGCAGTGTTATTGATAAAAATAAAATAAAATATTTTTTTTTGCATTTGTACCTCGGTAATAATATAAAACCTAAACGAGTAACTATATGTCAATTGGTATTTGAATGTACAAATAAAACCTCTGCATTGATGACTTAATTCCTTCTTTGATGAAACTAAGAGAATCAAATAAAATTTAAACATGAAATACTATTAGAACTCTTGAAAGCCGTAATATCTGATTATATTGCGAAAGAATTTGTCATGAGACGAAGAAAAGATAATTAGAAGCAGAATAAAGAAATATATTTAGTTCTTTCAGAGAAATCGCTCAGAAAATGGCTGAAAGTAATATTTCCCAATTTCAGTGTAATGTGATATTAGATGGGTAAGGTTTCAGACAGAAATATTTCGCCAATTTCAAATTAAAGAGTGAAATATTAGACAGTTTTGAGTATCCTCGTATGAATAGTGAAGAAATGATAACTTTAAGAACGTTGAACATGTTCTTCAGTAGCTTATTGAGACATTTGTAACTAAATCATTTTCATATATTTATCCAAATACCTCACAAGATATATCGATCCGTTATTTCTGCCCTCAAACATCATAAATAAATTTAATAATATTTGGATCGAACCTGAATAATATGTATGCTTTTTTTACTAATCAAAAGTTCAAATCATTTATTTTCATGAATAGTTTTGTTTTCAAGTGATTTTGTTTCAACTTTTCAGTGTACATTTGCGTGCGCGTTCTATAGATATGAAGATTGTGCAGTAGCAGTTTATCCAAACTGGTCATTGTTACTATCATAAAATAAGGTTTTATTTTAATACGAAACTAAATTGAAAACCTTTAAACAATGTACCAGCAGAAAAAAAAAACATTTAAATATTATCGGAATGTTTTGTAGTTTTACTTTTTATCTTATTTGTGAATAAAGTAAAAATCGTTCATTTTCTTTTTGTTATTTTGGATAATTTCTGCCGATTAATACAGAGTTGAATATTTCCCAAGGTTTGAATTTGATGATTATCAAGTAATAACTCAAAGTAAACTTTGGAAGTTATATGGAACAGCAAGCAAAAGAAAACATCAATCCAGATTCATCCATTTTTGAATTACTAAATCAATCGAAGAACAAACGAGATGTTTTTCTCTTTATTCTACTGAAGCCATGTTGAAATTATTAATCTGAGCCAATAGAGTTTTCTGCACGCTAACAGACAATGGCAAACATGTTGAATATTTGGGCATAATAATTATTTCACCATTAATTTTTTTTCATTTTCTACATTATTTTTCCGAATTTATTCTTTTAATACTTTTCGTGGTTAATTATCCAAAAGCATAATATTTCGATGCCAACATATTTTCGTAAATTCTTTATGCTGAGAAGTTCAAGGTGTTCTGAGCTTTTAATTGATATTCATTCTTTTCCCTGGAGAAGGAAAAATTATAAATTAATATCATGAAATCAAAATCTTTGTAAATACTAAATAGTCATTCAAAAACATTTAATAGGAAGCTGTTTAAATTAATGTACAAAGTCTTTCTTCATCAGTCTCATGAAACCTGTTTGCGTTTATAGTAATAACAGAAGCAACTGCGATGGAGATTCGTATCTGCCAGGTAGAAAAGTGATTATCATCCTCACCTTGCACACTATTCGTTAGTATTTAGTTCGAAATCAATGGCGTGCTCAATTAGATTTGCTCTGTACTAGACTTAACTTGTAGTATAGAATGCAACTGATTGGTACATGTGATAGTTTGAAACCCTCTTATTACCTTTGGTGTTCTTGTCTTTGATGTGCCATCTTAAGTGTTTATCATTTTTCATCACAAATTTTGTAAGTTTTATTCGGATGCTACTGAAATTACTTTTTTCCTCCACTTGTGAAAATTGTCAGTGTTTATGATAATAATAAAAAAAAAATCAATAGATATTCATACTTGACAGATCAGTGATCAATAAATTCACCTTGCAAACTCATCGTTAGTAGTGAGTGTTCAATATTCATGGAGTGCTTAATTTGATTTGCTCTATACTAGACTAAGCTAAACTTAAAGAACGGGATTGTTTGGTAAATAAGATAGGTTGGACCACACGTTGTATTGGGATGCTATTGAAAGTGCTTTTTTCCTTATATTAGTGAAAATTGTCGGTGGTAACAATAAAGAAACTGTAATACAGATTTGTACATGATAATCAGTAATCAGCAAACTGAATTTGCAAGATCATTTGCTAATCTAGTGAGTTTAATATTCATGAATTACTGCTGACCTCTATTAAACGAAGCTGAACACAGTAAATCTATGACATCAGATTTTGCGAAATTTAGTTTCTTTTTTCTAAAAAAATAATAATGTGTGTTTATATCTGCTTTTATTCTTCCTTAAATTCACACGATTAGGTTGTCTATGTGGGTAAAAACGTTTGTTACTACTGCCTGGAAAAGTATGGGAGAGGGATTTCTCAAGTTCTCCCTCATTGGTCAACCATTATTGGGTACATGACAATGCAAATGATTTCTGTCTTTCCAAAATGCATTGTTGACTTATGGCAACATCGAATTGAAACACCGGTTCTCATCCGATCACCGAAGTTAAGCAACGTCGAACCTGGTCAGTACCTAGATGAGTGACCGTTTGGGGATACCAAGTGCTGTAAGCTTGGGTATAATGGAATTGTTAAACGGAGAGTTCGTTATATACACCTATGCGCAAATACCATCGGGAAAGGTATGAATACATATATTCTCCCCCCTCTATGGCTTAATTAGTAGAATTTCTACCATTAAAACGTTATTATAGAAAAAATTCTTACACAAATATTTTCTGGCCTTAAATACCTTGTAAAGGGTTGATAAACAGTAGAAAACAGATCAGTTAATCAATAAACGCATTGTTACGAAGTAAACAATTGAAATTCGAGCATGTTCCAACGGTTCTGTTTTTAGTGTTTCTAATCGCATAAAATAATGAAAGATTTTGTTACCTGATCCATTCAGAGTTTTACTCTTAGATATCGTCAAAATTGTCCTCTATTGGTTTATTGTTGGTTTCAGGAAGGAAGAAATAAGAGGCACTAGATAAAATGCAAGCAAATCCTATCGTCAAAAGTGGTAAACTGTGACCCAAACTTCCAGTTGCAAGGGTTCGCTAGAATAAACAGAAGAAATGAAATTACTTTACATGAACATTTAATAATAATAATAATCGCATTGAACTGATGCTGTTTACAGTTTACTTTTGTTATAATAATCGTATGAACTGGTAATTCTGGTTAATAATATTTTAAGGAAAAACCCTAGAACAAAAGTTTAGTGAAGAAAAGTTTTAATCAGATCGATGACATGGATTAATAATACAGTAATAGCAAATACCTTAGTTCAGTGCGGCAATGCTTACGACTCAACGCTGCGACCTGCGATCCACTCTGTGACAACTGCGCTATGAACAGACGTTCTACTCATAGCGAATGAACGAGTCTATGTTCAACAAATAGTATGGAGAAGGTCGGTCGTTTTTCTACACGACACTTTTAATTTCAAGTGTAAACTTAAGTATAAATGTAAGTAAATATCTGATAACCCATTAGCAGTTAGTAAATTATTTACAGAGGTACCTAGAATATATGCAGCTTTATACCAAGCAAGATAAATACTGAAAAAATTACTCTTTTAATACCTTTGGGACACAGCCAAATAAGAGATGATTGAGTATTGAAGAATTTAATGATTTGTCCTTATAAATTAATCCTTCATGTAATAAAAAAATAGAAAAAATAACAAAAAACAAGAAGAATCAAATTAAAAATTTATTTTTGATTGAATTCTTTGTATTCTCAAAGTTGTGGTGAAATTCCACAGATATATTTTTAATTAGTTAGAATATAGAAATAAGACAAGGATGTATCGTCTCACCAGATTTATTTAAGCTATACAGCGAAGTGATTCTGAGAGAATTAGAAGTCCTACCAGGATTCATTATTGGCGGCCACAGTCGTAACAAAATAAGATAAGAAGATGACACAGTGTTGATAGCAGACATAAAAAGAAAATTACGCGAGAAGGTAAGAAAAGGTTGCGAAAAGAAAGGATTAAACAGGAAGACAGAATTCATGGTTGTTATTAATAGGATGAATCGAAAATGTAAGTTTACAAATGAGAGATACCTAGATCAAAAAAAATCTCTGAAGTAATTTAACAGAGGACGTAAAGTGTGACACTGAAAAACGAAGGAGCATTGAGATAGCGAAAGATGCTTTCTAAAAGCTAAGCAGAGTATTGAGAAACAGAAAAAAACTTCGTTAGAAATAAAGGAAAGAGTACTGAACGTGATATCTGCCTTTCTATATGGTTGTAAATGCTGGACAATTTCCTCAAAGATGAAGAAGAAACTTGAAACAACAGAAATGTGGCTCTACAGAAGGATGTCGAGGATACCATGGATCAAACACATGAGAAACAACGAAGTTTTAGAGAAAATGGAAACGAAAAGGAAACATATATTTAACATCAGGAAGAAAGAGTTGAAATTTCTAGGACACATAATCAGGAAAGAGGGCCTGGCAAATTTGTCACTCACGGGACAGATTGAAGTCAAGAGCGACAGAGAAAAACAACGCATAACATACTTTTGAGCTTTAGTAAATGGATGGCTGAACAGCGTGTAGGAGAAATAACAAAAAGACAAAATTTATTAAGAGATACGAAGAAGAGGAAATTGTGGAGAGTCATAATCGCCTGCGTCCTGAGGATACTCGACACACAAGGAAGAAGAATCATTAAAATTTAGCTATATTTAAATCGGGATTTATGCCACAGAAAGATTTTCTGCTAAATGGAAGTTTGAATATCTAGGAAAAAATGTTTTACGTATTTTGATGTGAGTTTGAAAAACCATCCCCAAAACTGAAATTATGAAGTCGAGGCATAAAAGTTAAAAATGAATTCGCCGGTGAGAAAGAAATGCACGGCTCCCTCAACTAAGTACGTCTGTCGTTTCATAATTTATTAAAACTACGTACTGTCATTATTATGTAGGGTGATATCGTACCACCCAATGTAGCAAAAGTAGAGAGATATCCCAATGCTCCATTTCTCACACAGGTAGGGTACAATTCACAGGTGTGTAGATAAATAATACCGTAAGAACCAGTGATGCACAATCTGCTTAAGAGAGCCAATGAGGTTTTATTCCGTTGAAAATCTGAATGAGAAAGCAAAAAAAAAAAATAAAAAAAAATCACATTTGAGAACTTGAGAATATCTAGTAAGCATTCGAAAATGATATTTTTTTCTGAAATCTCTTTCACAAAATAGCGATAAATTATAGAAAACGACGGTTAAAATGATAGAAACAAAATTAAAATACATAATTAAAAACAAACGTCATTATGCTTTTGCAATAATTTTATAGAACAAATATTTAATATAATAAACTCATATCTTACACAGAATTGATTGATTTGTTTTTACGGATTATCAACCTTTTGCAGATTATTTAAAGCCAGCATATAATTTTAGATTCTAAGATTTTTTTTGAGATAATAATGATTTAGTGATATAAGTCTTACTAAATTACCAATAGCTAGGGAACAAGAGGTGGATTCATATCTTTCCCTAGGGTATTTTCGTGTGAGTGCATAAAATGAACCTGACTGGAATGGGAATCTTGCTTTCTTTTTTTTTTTAAAAGAAAGATCTTTCTTAAAGTTTCTATTTTATTTTTAAGTTAATAGATTAAATTTAATATTTTCAATAAACAATATACTTTGCTGTATTTGAAACTGAATTTAAATTGCTTTGAATGACTTTTTTTATAATCAGTAAAATGCCCATATTGATAAATCTGTCAACAAAATATAATTCTCTTCATTAAAAATTCTTGCAAGATTAAAATATATTTTTCTGAAACTTTATTTGAGGAAGATTAGCTGATTTGAAGTTTAATCTGATTTGAAACAAATATTACTTTTAGTTTAAAATATCGCAGAAAAGCATTTTTAACTCGAGGTTTTTATGAGGTGTTGACAACTTTGTTTCTAGATACTCTGGGATTTTTTTTTTAGTGGCGGCGGTGGTGGGGGATAACTATAACAAATGCATGACGAATATAATGTGAAAAGTTTATTTAAAACTACCCTGTAATCTGAAAAATTAAAAAATATTCTAAGTAATCTAATGTTTTATTGTATTTTGCATACTTTGGCATTATAGTCTAACTTACGAAAACAGTTGTTGACGAAATGTTAAAAAAATTAACAATAAATTTTAAATTTACTATAGTTACCTCTCTTATTGTCTGATAAAATCGCGTTTGGACATCCATATTTACAAAATCGACAGTTTATACCCACATCAAAAAATCAAAAAAAATATTTTTCAAATATTAGAGGTTGTTGAATTGTAGAGAGCTTTCCATTTTCTTTTTTTAGTAAATACAGTCAACAATTGACTGCTACGAATTAATACAGAATTTTAAAAGATTTAGAAGTTTATAAATTATACTAATTGAAATTTAAAAAATGAAAAAAATTTTAGTAAAAATTCATCATTGATCGATTTTTTTCCTTAAGACAACAGTATTCTTAATATATTTTGTACATAAAACCAATTAAAAGCTTTTCTAATTAAATACTGTCTTAGTTATATTGCATTTTTATTTCACAATTCAGAGCAGTTATTTTTGTTTTGTAACTTCTGGTCCTGTTTGACCAAAATAATTTCATAATGTAAAATTCTCCAAGGACTTTTTCTTATAACTAATAAGAGCTACAAAATATAATTTCTCGAAATTTCATAAAATTAAATAAGTGGGAATTTAACAGATGTAAGAAAAATATTTTACCTAGAATTTCTAAAAAAAAGAATCGTTTTTCTAAAATAATTTCATTCATTTGTAGATAAATCCCAAATGTTTCATTGAAATCTGACAATTATCTGATTTTTACAAGAATTTCCAAATCTGTGTTTGTTGCATCGCAAAAAGACGCTAAATTTTACCAAACTAATTCATGTTCACCCGCTGTGCATTATGATTCAGTGTGTATGCAGTCTAAGAAACATATATTTATGAGCATGAGTTTTTAAGCGTATCTATAGTGTATATTATATTATATAATTATTATTATATATGTATTATCATCTATGTATGTACGTGTATAATTTCAGACGTTTAAACAAGGATTTCAATCTTTTTAATCTTCAATCATATTGCATCCGTCCTTCCCCATTTAAATTCTGCATAATGATTCCGTTTTCTGAATAAGTAACCAAAACATCAAATAAGTTTAGTTAGTATTTCTTCAAAATGTAATCAAATAAATCTTAGTGTGTAAAGAAAAATAAACCATTTTTTCTCTTACCACCAGGAGTATACATCAATGAAAAAATTATCATGATTCCGCAAATTCCTCCAATAGCCATGAAGGCAATGTACAATTTCTTCCTACCGATACGGTCCAATAAAACGACACACATGAGATACGCAGGGATTTCCACGAGTGCACCAAATAAGAAATTCAGGAAGATGTTACCACTCAGATGTTCAGTATGTAGCACCATCCCATAATACGCAAAACTCACCACAAACCTATGAATATAGTTAAAAAAATAAACAAGTTGCTGAATGCAATTGAGATAAACCAAACCGTAGCATTGTTAATTTTAACGACTCTAAAGCGATACAGCTCTCTTTTTCATTATCTGAGAGAACCTTTTTTTTTCTTTCCATCAGCATTGCTGATGCTAACCTCTGGGAGAGTAACCCATTGCACCTTGTACTAATGTTTTCCGCTGACATGAAAATCTACCATTCGTCTTTGCTTTGGGTATTGCTGCCACATTTGGTCTGGTGCTCCTGCTATATATTGAGAGATTCTTAATAAAACCCAAAAGAAGAACCTGCAACATTATTGATCCTGACCTGGCATCTCAGCTTCAGTCACTTTTCCACCGACGTAACGTAGCTTCTCTGTGTCTTTTCTCTAAATAATTTCATGGTAAATGTTCTAATGAACTTTCCTCTATGGTACTTAGAATTTATTAATTTAAGAGCAGTACTAGATTGGCGGTAAGGTCTTATTATTTTACAGTTGAAATGGCTACATGCAACGGTAAGTACTATATCGCACTTCTCGCTTGTGGAACTCTTTTCTGACTTCTTTCTTCCTAGTAAACTTTGATCTTCAAAAATTTAAACGCAATGTCAATAGTTATTTTATGTCTTCTCATTTCTTGTTCTATTATTGTCCTCACACCGTAAAATTTATCATATTCTGTTATATAGGAATAAAGTGTCGCTACCGACACTGGAGTTTGAACACAGATCACCAGAGAGCAAACATAGGCGATCCCATTTTGAATAAGTAGATCACGTAATGGTAAAGGAAATGTATATATGGGAATTAGCGTGACGTCTATACGGATCACTATTTCTCTTCTATCCTCTTTTACTATACGGATCACTATTTCTACTATATCCTCTGTTACTATACGGATCACTATTTCTACTCTATCCTCTGTTACTATACGGATCGCTATTCTCTATACTTTTCACTATACTATTCTATACACTGATCATTACACGGATTACTATTCGGTGGTTACTTTCGAGCAAGTACTGTTGTTATTCGAAGGCGTCTGGCACCAGTATTATTCAACGGCGTTACTGTAGTTGTATCGGCGATTACTACAATGAGGATTACGAAAGTGACAACGAGTATTCGTTGACATTACAAAAGTGGCAACGAGTCTTCGTTGACATCACAAAATACTCTCTAACAATCAGTACCCCCCTTGAATCTTAATGGCTTTATTGTCTTGCTTGGGGTGAAATGATAAAAAAAAAAATACCAGGATTCTTGTAAAGTGAGTTCCATAATCAAAACAACTTTTCTACCAATACCAAAACAACCTACTAGGAATGCTTTTACTTGAATTTCCTACAAAATCTTTCACGAAATCACATTGTTTTTAATCTGTTTTTCACATTTTGATTACCAAATATCTAAATTTTATATTAGAAGAGCAAAAATGTATCAATTGAAATCTTAGCTGAAGACCATGCTTTACAATATATCTAATTTAACAAACACTCGCAATTAGTTATTCCTCCTAACTATATTGGTATTGGTAATGAAAACAACGTAGCAAGACAGACTCAAATTCATATTAACATTGAGCATAACCATTAAATACTGAATACATTAAAAGAAAATTGTTCTCATAGTAAATCCAACTCTCCATCTACTTTTCCAAATGGGACAATTTTGCCAGAGAAGAAAGACAGGATATAGCTTGTCTATTTAATGTCGCTAACTTGTATGATTTGCATTGCGCTTTTTATTCCTTTTTCATTGCCTTATCAAGACTCAGTAGTTGGCAAATTATATATTAATATTCGAAAAGTTTTAATGATTATTGCACATTACAATGTATTTAAGTGTTAAAAAACATACTATACTTACTAAACTTTCAATGCTACATGGGGAATGTGGGGCGCCAATTTGCGAAAGTATACTTCATTTATCAGTCACAGTACGGAATCCTAACTTTTATCTGGGCCCGAACAACCTTAAGCTGAATGATTCAAAATCACGACCAGAGACAACAATGAAATTTAAGGAGAATCTTTTAATTTTTAATCCTCTCAGATATTGTTACTTACTAAGTCTAACTTTAACAGAAGACTACAAGTTAGAATCGAACTCATTCTTCATCTATGTGTCTCGTCCCTTGAGGACATAAGCGATCATGGCAAAATCCAAAACTTCCTATTCTTTTTGGCTCTTATCAGTTTTCTCCCTTTGGTAGGGCTTCCGCACCCCGTTCCGATATCCATTCACACAAGAACATCAGGTAAATGTCTTTCTGCCTTCCCCTATCTCTCTTGCCTGTGTGGGTTAAGTTTTCCAAGCCCCGTCCTCATTATGTGTCCAAGAAAATGCAACAGTCTTAATGTTCTTTTTTGTTAGTATTTTCTTTAAGGTTTCCTTGTTGCTTACTGGCTCCGTCTGTGGAGTTGTCAGTATCCTTCTGTAGAATTCTACATCTGCTGCCTTGAGTTTTCTCGTCATCTTCCGTGGGGAGATTGTCTCACATTCACTGCCATATAAGAGGATGCAATTGCAATCCAGCATTCTTTTATTTTTCTAACGATTTTTTTTTTCTGTTGGAATGATTCTTTCCTTAAAGTAGGGTCTCCAATTCAATTAGGTTAGCGTCGCCATAGAAGCTGAATAAACCCGGGGGAGAAGACAAATCCTTGTCTCACGCCCGTTTACTCAATTTATTTATTTTATTTTATTTTCTATCCGTATGCAGGCGGTGTTTTTACAGTATAAATTTTGGATTATTCAAATTCATCCTTGTGTCGTACCTTTTCAAATGCTTTTACGTCATTTATAAAACGTAAGTGCATCTCCTTCCGTATTTTTATTGCTCTCTCTTTGATTTAATTCTGATCATGAATATTGCATTTCTTTTTGCAGTGTACTTAAGAAAACCGTACTGTTCTTGTCCTATTTCCTCATTCTGATTCGCGCTCTATTCATCAGGTTTTGCACCAATTTGATTATGTACCTCATTAAATTTATTGTCCTATGAAGTTCGCATTCGTTTGCACCTGGTTATTTAGGTAATATTAGGAAGATGGATTTAGTGAGGTCCTCCGGTATGTGGCCACTGTTTCGTCTATTATTCTGTGATCTTGTCGATACCGAATTTGTCTGAGGCTGAGTGCATATCAGTTACGATCCCATCAGACCCTGCTGCTCTGTTCCTGTTCATTTTCTCCTTTGCTGATCTTACTTTTACGTCTTTTACTATTTCTGGCTCTATAGGAATTTTCCACTGCAGGTTTCTATCTGGCGTCGAGAAAAAAAAAAGTTATTTGACGTATTTGTTCCACCTTTGGAGTATTTTCTCTTTTTTATTTTTATTATCAGTGATCCTTCCTTTCATAGTGTTAAAAGGACGGTTTTCTAGTGACACAGTTTTTTTTAACTGCCTTCACTCTTCGGCGGCGTTTATTATGCAAAAAGCGATGATTAGAATTGGAATAAAACCTAAACACATGATGAAAGTGAATTTATACACTTGAGAATTTACAACAAGAATATTAAACACTATTTATTTATTTATTAGAGTGTTTATCTGCCTATATTTCTGAGATGATGTGTTACGTACAATATTTACATTATTCGGACTATTGTCCTCATCTTTGTTGCTATATTTATCACAACGTTTCGGCCATTGTACGCTTCGGCCTTCTTCAGGTGGTTGGAATGTCGAACTGAACCCTTTATTTCGCTCGCTGGGGTAGACTGTTCTATTTCCACATGCCATATCTAATGGATGTCAGTTATAAGTTATCTCCTGTTAATTCCCCTCTCCAAGTTCTCCACTGACTTAACCAGGTATTGAAATTACACTCACACTCTGGAGAGGGGATTTAACAAGAGATAACTGACATCCATTAGACAATAGTCCGAATAATGTAAATAGTGTAGAGTGTTTATGTACAGCATTCTAAAAACTAATACATTTAGAACTGATGCAATTCAATATTTATCATTTAACAATTTAAAAATAAATAAATATGAAAGCAATTTTTTTTCATAAATTTATAAACATTTAATATGTTATTAAAATGTGAATCAACTATGTGGAAGTCCTTATTATTTACCATTTGATAAAGTTTGTAGCAATTAGCAATTAGTCGATTTGCAAACCATTCTAATAAACAATCTAATAAATAAATACTGTTTATTATTTTATCCATGTTTACCAAAAAGTATATATATATAATAAAAAAAGTCAGGATTACTAATTTTCAGCGATAATAAAATATAAAAAAAGTTTTTTTAAAGCGTTTATTAATGATACTGAGTTTCTCAACTTATCACAAAAAGCAGCGCAATTATTTATGTCCATCAAGAGTGTTTCTATTTTCTTTTCTTTTTTTTTTCTTTTCTATCTTTATAATATTGTGGTTGGCGAGGAAACTACACAGTGAATCCTTACACACTTGGCCTTGTGCCAAACTAAACTAAACTTTGTAAATATCTATAATGTACAACTAAAATAAATCTTACTAGATCTATCAAGCTTTGATTGATTCGTTTTCTACGGCTTATCAACACTTTGCAAGTTATTTAAAGCTAAAGATATTTTACACTGTAAGAATATTTTTGAGATAATAGTGATATAAGTCTTATTAATTAATCCATAGCTTGGGGGAGAAGGAGTGGATTCATACCTTTCCCAAGGGTATTTGCGCGTAAGTGAATATTACGAACCCAACGGGAATTGGAGCTCAGCTCTCCGATTAAGAATTCCGAGCCATTATCATTTACATCACTCGTACATCAAGTCTTAAAGCACCAAGCGGTCACCCATATAGATACCGATGAGGTTCGATGATGCTTAGCCTCGTTGATCGTACGAGAACCGGTGTTTCAACGTGATATGGCCGTATGCCTCTATGAAATGTTTTGTTTGATATCTTTAGTAAACATTTAATAAATGTTTATATTTAGTAAACATTTAATAAATGTTTATATTTAGTAAACATTTAATAAATGTTTATATTTAGTAAACATTTAATAAATGTTTATATTTGGTAAACATTTAATAAATGTTTATATTTAGTAAACATTTAATAAATGTTTAGATTTGAAACAACTTCAATGCCATTAATTTTATGCTGTATTAAAATACATGCAATTTTATAAACCTTTTGTTAAAGATATTTCAGACTTAAACCAGAAATGGTGAAAATGGTGAACGAACCGTTTCCATACTAGAAGTATTTGGCATTCATTGACCGAACATTTAAAATTACTATCAGTTGAAATTTATGAAATATTTTCTTAAAAAAGGTTTTCGGGAAATTAGACTTCTGAAATTCACTAACAACTCTTTCTAGTACTGGCAACAGTTTCCTTCCCAACCTGTTCTTGGTAATATGAAATGTTATGATCTTGATGATATCATTATTTTCACTTCTAGTCTCATGTGCTAGCCATTTTATTGTTGCTACTGTTGGAAGTTTTTGTTATTTGGTAAAGTTCTTTGGGATTTTGTTACATCATTCTATAGAGCCTGATGAAGGATCAACTTCTCTGAAGATTTATAGGATTTCAATAACATTGCGTGTCTGTATAATCAGATTTACGAAGAAAAACGAAAATTTTCTCACCAGTTAAACATCAGGATGAAAGTTCTTTTTCGAAGTTTTGGAATCGTGAATATTTTCCAGAGCCTGACAGTCCGATCTTCGACCACCGATATTTCTATTTCGTCTGATTTGTAACTGAAATTGCGATTGTTAACTTTGGCCATTTTATTCAAAATTATTTCTGCTTCCTTTTCCTTTTTTACAGTTAGTAGCCAACGTGGGGATTCTGGTAATAACCTGAAATGAATAATAATAAGAAGTATATATAAGGTTGATATGCCTCTAAACAAAGTTTTAGGACTTTACAACATACATATCCATGATTCTGAAAGGGTATAATGTAGATTTAAAATGGTCAGAACAGCCATATAGTGGACATTGTGCAGTTGGCTTTGGTTAAACTATGTGAACACACGGAATATGTACAAAGCTGTTGTATTAGAACGCAAAAAGTATAAAAACAAAACGCTGTCCAAACAAAAATGCTAGAACCTCAATCGAAGTCAAGACATGATTCTTATTGTTGAGCCAATCATATTTGGTTTATTTGGAATTTTTCCAAAATCACTGGTGACGAGGTTATTATAATTAAACATACGAGAAAGTAATGAGGTTAAATTGACATTATTAAGCATTCAAATTTTTTTTACTGTTATAAAATATCTACAAAATACAATAATTTTGAGAACTTTGATTGCATAAAGCGAAACAGAAGCATGGATATATTCAAATTTTCCGTTTTATATTTTTAATTTCTATTCAGTATATCATAGTTCTTAAGTCTCTTTCTCTCTCCATACACACATTAGTCCAGTGTATGACGATAGACTACATCCGGCAGCAAGCAGCAAGGCCTCTGATCAGGAAATTGGAGGTTTTAAAAAGCGTAGAAGCATCTATTAATTGCTGATGTTCTCAGATCTACCCTGACTTGGATGGTAGCACCTGTTAGGATCCCAGCTACGGGCAAACATGGAACATCAAACAGCACACTATGAAAGTATAAACATACATTTTTATAATAAAATCACCAACAATACATTTTTAAAGTAGATTTACCACAATACATTTTATAGCAAAATGACAAACAATACATTTATCTGTAATTGATGTCATCAATCTGCGTTGAAAAAAATTAGATTTCGGCATTAAATAATCCATATATACCTCTAAACAAAATCAACCAACCAACACACACAAACATCCATTCAGAAAGTATTTAATAAAAAAAATGTTCAAATAGTCATTCAAACAGATTGACTGTTCAGAAACAGAATACAATGTAGGTAATGTGTTGGTTTAACTCTTACCAAAAGTAAAGCAATGCAACTGGTATTGTGGGTATAGAAACCAATAGAACAAGCAATTTCCAGGTTCGTATGTAATACGCCAATATGCTAATAACGATGTATCCGGCGGTTAAATACAGTTGAATAATGATAGAGGCACACGCTCTGTTTTTCGTTGATGAAATTTCAGCTCCTGTTAAATACAAGATTAAAATAAAAAGAACAAAAAAAAAAATTCAGATTAGAAATTATTAAGAAATTTAAAATATCGAAACTAAGTTTTCAAATATTCTAAAATCTATCGTGGATGCCAAATACAATGTTATGTTTAGCAAGTTAATCCCGCAGTCCATCCGTTACTTTTTGTCAATTCAAGATATATTTCGTGCTTCATAGCCATGGCCTTAAACTTAGCTTTTTAAACATTTATAATTTATATCATTATTTTTTTTATTTAAGCTGCAGATAAGAAATATTGAAATCTGAGTCAACTGAATTTGATTCAGCGGTTTTAACCTCTTCCCTAATATTCCATCTCTATCAGTGAACCGTATGGTAATAAGGAGTACTAAAGAAAAGCAATGAATAACAACAAAAATTGCAATATAAACTCTGGTAAAAAAAATACAATAATAATAACAGAAAAATTGCAATTCTGTGTGTCCATAAAGTTCGTGTGCACTTTAAAAAATTTATAACATTATTTGTATTTGCGATAAAAATAATGTGTAAAAATGTTATAAAGTTTAATGTACCTATTTTTAAGTAGAGATAAAATAACTAATGTGATTTCAGGAATTACTGTAAATCAGTTGGCAATTTTTTTCCGTGAACTGCAAAATCGAATTACCCTTTGTATTGCTAATGATGGAGGACATGTGGAAACTTAAATAAAATTTCAATAAAACCTTAAAAAATATAGATTCACTTCTTTCTAATCCTTTTTACAACTTATTTCTATCATACAAATAAAGTTATAATTTTTAAAGTACACACGAACTTTATGGACACCCTGTATAAACACAAGTAAAATGGTTGCTAAGACATTTGGTTATAAGTCCCAAAAAATTATCCTAAAGGACACATAGCCCAGTGGGTAAAGAGATTGATTAGATCCAGTGACTAGACACAAAAGAATTGATAGTTCAATACCAGACCACAGCAAATTGGAGAGTTGAATTAAAAGGAAATAACTGAGACATGGCACGTAGAACTAGAACAATCTAATAAAGGGTTCGGTTCGAAATTCTAATCACCTAAAGCAGGTCGGCGCAACGTGAATATAGTAATGAAGATGTCCGAATAATGTAAATAATACGAGTATATTATCTGTGTATTCATGTCAACGACAATGGATTTCCATCTTGACATTTCTCAATATTAGGCTCCATGGCAGACAGAGACCACAAGTGAAAATGTTAAGTATTAATCACCCACTGAAAAACGGCGAGGCACTTAGTGTTCTCAAGATTTCTGATGCTAGAGTCGTTGGATGGTACACCTATCAAGCCTATCACCATCCATAATCAACAATTGGTGAATGGTGATAGGCTTATGGATGTAGATTAATTGTAATTGAATCTTCTTTTATTTAATTTATTTAAGTTGATAAAAAGATGCATATGAAGAAATTGTTGAGAATTGACACATTCAGTAGCATAAAAATAAGAATATATCACGACCAAGCACTAAATGCAAGCAAGGTCATAATGAGAAGCCCTGAACTCTTTAATGTCGAAAGAAGATTAAAACGGTCCAAAAATGTCAAGGGCTTATTAGCCGTAAAAAAGAATAAACATAAAATTGAATTCAAATACGTACATATTTATCTTGAAAACCACCTAAATAAAATGAACGTAACTCGGGCGTAATTCAAGCCATGTTCACAGATTTCCCTTCCCAACTGGCTAACCATTACGCTACCCGGAAATCCCTTGAAGATGCTACAAATGTCTAAAAGACGTGCATTACGCCATCAAAGTGTAAGAAATGTAGGCAAAAGGACCCCAACCACTGTGATGGAGAATGCAACGGGGAAATTGAATGCGTTGTCGTGGAGATCACCCGGTATACGCACGAATGTGTTAAATCTAGAGAAGAAATAAAATAATAGGTGATATACAAAAGTAACGTTTCATTTCCAAGGGTATGAAGGATGGTATGTATGACATGGCAGCCCAAAGGAGACATGTTATACATGAGTGTTCTGTAAGCCTGATAAATCCAAGGTAATCATTAAGAGGATACTAAAATTAGAACGAGATCAATGGCTAACATTTATAAAAGAAATAGTTCCATCCTTGGGGTAAAGCGAATCTGCGTCCACTGCTAATCAACACATAATCGAATCCATCAAAACCCTAAAACCACAAACCATTCCAACAAATCAAAAAGAAACAAAACATGTCCCCAACACATTTAACATTTCATAGTTAAGAAACCCTTTTAACAACACGTTTAAACCATATACCAAACAAAAATCCGGCAGAGATCACAAAGTTCTCTAATTCCACAACGTCATTCGACTCAAGTGACTTCTCTGTAAATGAGTCCAAAAATGATATTCCCAAAGAGGCAAAGACCACTTATCTAAAGATCACAAAATAAACCACGCCAACGGTCCTTCTCAAGGCCAATGAAACACAAACAGAAGACACCATAAATTCTAAAAATTCAATAGACTTGAAAAAATACAAAAAGAAGTCAATCATTCACCTAAAAAAATCAACCAAATCAAAACATCCAAATAAATAACTCCTTATTGTTTACACGATTTATAATGTGACTATTGTTCTCGTTTGGACGATAGTCTGAATATGTATAGTGTAAATAATTATAACTTTGCATGCAAGAAATTCAGACATAAATAACTCTTATACAATATTATGACCTATAAAATCATTCAATGTAAACCCATGAGAAAAGAAGTAATTTACGTTTTTAATCATTCTTCACAAATTGAAATCACTTCATTTGGGTATCACACATAAATTCAATCTGGATGTTTATTGCTTTGACATCTGATACTGTTTTCTCATTGATAGCCGGTGTGTGTGGGGGAGCAATATAATAATAATAATTGTCTAATGATAGCGACTCAGAATGAGAAATCGAAGAGCTGAATTTGAATTCCAGTCGAGTTCATTACATTTAATACCATTGGGAAAAGTATGAACCCATCTCCTCACTCTCAGCTATCAAGAAAAACTCTACAGAATTATCTATGGTGAAAATTATTGTTTCATTATAATTAATACGTTAATTTCAATAAATAAAGATTTAGGTTGTTAGCATACATTGGTTAGGATACAGATTGTGAATTCTAAAGGGACATTATTCGTATAAATCACCTGCGTACAACAAGACAAAATTCTTATTTTATTACAGGAACATATTTTGTAGCCGAGAAAAGTGTTTTGCTCGCAAGAGAACAAGGATTTGATGTTTGAGTTGATAATGTTGGAGCTAAGAATTTAAATGCTAATTTTCAAAACAGGAAGATCAGCCTAACGGACATTTTCCCAACCTTATTTCCTCTCCAATTTAGCCTTGTGACAAAATAAGCTTTGTCCATAATAAAACAAGATGGAGCTCGTCGCAATTGTCAGTTTCAAGTAACTGAATTATATTATATCTTCAGACGAGAAAGATTTTCGTTGATTGAAATTAAGAAAATGTCTTACCAAACACAACTGATGGCATATAACATAGAGAACTTCCAAAAGCTGTCAAAAAACGAAGAATGAGAATCATATTGATGTCCATAATTTGCGAATATAGAATTCCAGTTATACCTTCAAGCATGAGCGCAGCAATAATGACTTTCTTTCGTCCAAATCTGGGAAAGTCAAATGGTTAAATGTAAGCCAAAAGAAGCTAAACAAAGAAAATATTTGATATTCAAACTTTTGTTGATACATTTCTGGATGAATTCCAGGGATGAGGCGTTATCCTTATTTACACTATTTACATGTGGAGTATTATCTTCATTTTTTTTATTGCTATCCTAACGTTTCGGTCGTTATCAAGTGTATCATCAAGTGTATATCGATCAGTTCAGAATACTCAGTAGGTTACCCAGATCGATATACACACAATGAAGACCGAAGAACGCAACAGACGAAACTTTGTGAAAATAACCATAAAGATGAGGATAATAGTACGTATTCTCGAAAGAAATGAAACAATGAAGTTTTTATGCTTTCAAAATATAACGGTACACATACAAAAAAAAAATTTTGATACTTTTAGCTTTTATGGTTAGCAAAGATGTCTCAGAGAAAATTCCATTACATTAGTCGCGGTTTCAATCTCCATTAGTAATCACATATATGTGACTTCGTACCCTAAACTAAATAAACTTAGGAAATATTAACACGAAAACAAGAATTCCTTAACGTAGAACAATGTAAGAAAATTTGTTTCTTTTACCATTGTTATGATAATGGGTACGATCCTCACTGGTTTTCTCATACTTGTGACCTTTTGCATAAACTAATTTAAATATTTAGCACAGTAACTCACAATTATAACAATTTCTGGACTCAGTGGAAGCTCTAGTGTTTTAGCCTGGTGTCGGACTAAGTAAATAACTAGAGGCAGCCTCGTAACTGTGGCAATTAGGCAATTCCAAACCATTATCAGAGGTCATTGTTCAAACCCAGGTGAAAGTCAATAATTGAAATGACGATTTTCAAGGCAACTAGGCTGGCAGATCCTCTGAACTTGGAAGATTATATCAATTCAGTGTTCTTGTTCGCTCCGTTTCACCGGTGTGGGTTTTTGATGTACTAAAATAAATAATATTTCGCCTAGCTGAAATAATTACCACCTTGGTGCGTGAAACTGGTTTTCAATTCCTGATGTAAGTAATAATTTCAAATGTTGATTTTTTTTTAAGATTGGCAGATCTTCTTCACCTGGAAAAATGGCCGAATCATTCATCTGCTTATTTTTTCCATTTCACCAAAATTAATGCAGTAATATCAGAAACCAGATAAAGTTAATGATTCGTTAGAATTAAATCGAATTATACATTTGGAAAATTAATATTATTTTTTTCATGATAGACATAAGTATCAAAACTATACAACGAAATAATCAGAAAATGACAAAGATTGTTTGTAACAATATTTACATATTCAACAACATGAGAAAAGAATTAAACATTCGGCTTTCATTTTCCACTTTCGACAGACATTTATAAAAGCTTTCTACTAAAACATTTTTTCAAAAAAATATCTTTCTCAAGTCCAGTAACTGTTATTGCTCTTTCCAGTATTGATGGCGGTTTTCTCCCTAACCTTTTGTTTGAAGTCGTGTGGAACGTCAACATCTTGAATATATGATTATTTTGTCTTCGATGGACATCTGCTATTTGTTTTACTTCTTGCTGTTGTTGACATTCCTTAAGAGGTATATCTCTGTTATTTGATACAGTTATTAGTTTGTGATTATGTAGCGCCAGTCCACGAGGTTCGACGAAGAGTGGTCATCGCTAAGAGCTACAGTCTTCATTCGTTCGAAGCCATTTTAAATATTGATTTGAGAAAAGGGTTGTATACAGCTGACAGTTTAGATATTTCTGATTAATTGATACGCTAAAATGAACAAAAGATAGTACTTTATAATGTAGATAATATATAATAAAGTCAGTGACATCGAGAAAATAACAAATTAATTTATACGTTAAGATGAACAAAAATGCCAATCAAAAGCCACGAAATTATTGGCGCACTTCGCACATCAATACAAAAACGCACACAGCACACTCGTGCGTGTGTTTAGGCAGTAGTCTTTCCTCTAATAAAAGCCTGACAATGAATGAGGAATTGTTTTTTTTTCTTCTATAAACAGTGTTCGCATAAAAGAGAATGTTTGAATACAATAAAAGTAAATATTGTCCACATGCTTATGGTGTGGCACTTCTACGCATACCTCTGATCATCAACAATCTTTTTTTTTGCGATGTCCGAACTCCACATTAGTAAAATACACCTAAACTAGTAACTGAGAATTTATAAGTTATTATGATGGACAGACAGAAATAAGAAGAAATGAATATTCTCTGAATGTATACTTACCTATCAGGAAGCCAACCGCAACAGAGCATAGCGATGAAATCTCCAAGAAAATATAGAGTATATATTTGATGAGCAAGCCATTTTTGCCACACACTAAATTAGACTAGAAAATGTAAAACAATGAATAAATGTTATCAGAATTAACAGAATAAATGGATATTTTACAAAACATGAAAATAGATTTATGATTGTATTTGAATATATTGCTAAAATAATATTGAAAAATTATGAAAATAAAATGATATGTAATTCCGTCAACAATTAAATGTAATCCAATCAGACATTGCTGAAAAGAGATCGAATACTATGGAGACTGTAGAATTACGTAACCTTCAATTTGGGAACATTCAATAAGTGAACATAATAATAGCACAAGATATTAAAGTTAGTTAATGTTAAAGTTTGACTATTTTTTATATTGATCATGTATGCTTTCTTTATGTCATTTAGGGAAAAGGCTTCGCGCCTAACTCATATCATTCAAATTAGAGGAAAAGAATAAAGGTAAAATATGAGTAGACTTTGTCAGATAATGAATAACCTCACATGGTTGAAAATTGTGCGTTTAGGGAACATTATTTATCAGACCATAAAATTTCTTATAATTGATCGACTTTTTAAAATGCAAATTCAAGAATTTTAATTGACGTTTTTTTTTTAGCAATGGGGTTTATCAAGCGAGATTTTGGATTATTTAAAGTTCAGAAATGGTATTCTGAATAGTTAATGATTAATGAATCTTTTATGATAATAATAATAATTTTCTTTTTGCAAATGAATATTCATTAACAATTTTCTCAGATATAAGGCCAAGTATTTAAACCATAGCTATGGAGAAGATATGGAAGCCTTTCCATTTCTTAATTTGTACCCAAAAGTGACACAGTAAAAAAATAATTTAAAACTTTTCCTTTAGATGATCAGAAAATGTCGATCTTTAAAATCTTTCGACAGCCTCTTTGCATTTGAAATCCATGTACTGTTACAAGAGGCAAGATCTGAGAAATCAAGAATTTGTTCACATAGACTATTCCATAAAATTTGCAGGTTTTAGACTATACTGAAAAAGGTAACATACAGAGGCATGAAATAGGCTCAAAACAGTGATAAACAACTTCACAACTGGTAAAAATTTTTGAAATACCTGTTTTAATAATTTTGTATAAAATATTATACGTGTCAAATAATTGGTTTGTTGATTTATTTAAATTTTAATTGATCCTTGAAAATATCCAAAGAAGAAGACAATGTTTTTTTCAATATATGATTCTAAATCCATTTTTACTGTCAAATTTCCCACCGACTGTATTTAGTGATCCTTGATTTTCCAAATGAGCATTTTATTGGTAATTGTTCTTTCAGTCCATTTCCTCTATGGTACATAGACTTTATGAATTACATTACTACATTAGCGACAAGGTCTGATCATTTTACAGTTGAAATGGATACATGTAAACATAGGTTCTATGCTAAAGGGCTTCTTTTATAGTACTTCTCGTTTTGGAACTCTCTTCCAGGCTTCATGCTTTCCATTCAAATTTCATCTTCAAAATTTTAAATGCAATGTCAATAGTTATCTTCTGCCTTCTTAATTCCTGTTCTTTTATTATTCTCTCTCTCTTTAGTGTTTTTATTTTTTCATTTTCGCCAATACTCAGTAACCCTTACGTCTTAATAGCTTTATTACCTTGCTTGGGGTAAAGTGATTAAAAAAATATGAGGCTTTCTGTCACTTAGTCTCACATCTGGTGTGATCATAAAAATACATGAGATGCGTTTAAATACTTTATGGTGAATATATCGAGGAATTAAGAAAAACTCAATTTAACTGTCTTCCAATTTACCATAGTTATTTCCTAAATTTCGTTCAGTTAGGCAGATGGTCAAGCGAGTCTTTATTATACTCACTATGTCCTAGTTTTTGTAATCTATTTCTAAAGTAATTAGATATCTTTATACATAATAGTTGCCTTTGCATTATATTTTATAAGGTATAAATGTTGGCTGAAGTTATTCTTATTCAAGAAAAAACCAGTGTAAGATATTTGTTATTTGATGTATTGTGAAATTTACAATAAATTTAACTACGCTAGATGTAGCGGTTATTTAACATTAATAAAATCTTTTTCACATATGCCATATTCTTTTTAATTATTTTTATATAGTAATGTTTAGTTATATATTATGTAGAGCATTAGTAAATATTTGTATTAAAAGTTAACTATACAAGTCTGAGGTTTATCCTACAGTGGAGTTGTGTCTAGATTTAGGTAAGTTATATGACATGGATAAATGGAGGGGACCTCAAGCCTTATCTTCCGGTGTACCTTTTCGTCCTACCCGACTGGATTGAAAATAAATAATATTTGTTCTAAGAGATGTTAATCTGTGGTGAATTATTCCCAAAACGTAATTGTGCGTCATAGAGGCCAAAGGTTACGTTTCCCAGAAATACTGTTTGTTTGAGCAGATTATTCAGAGGGGAAAAAGTTAGATTTTACTTAAAACTCACTAAAATTCTGTAATGCGTTTACAAGCGAAAACACTATTGTAGATTTGCCGTTCCACTATATATTATACAAAAATTAATGATCCGACATAATGGGGCAATTTGGTTTTGGATCTTTCCTACAATGATAGATAATAACAAGTTCCAATTGCGAAAGGCTGCCAATTATGAGCTGGAAATAACGATAGTAACTACATCTTTGGGTGAAGACACAGTATGAACTCAGTTGGACAAAGACCAACGAATATCCAATGAAGATTGACGTAATTTATATACACGAGTGTTCACGAGATTTTAAATGCTGATGGTAATTTGAGAAATGGCACTTCAGAAAGATTAGCTTTGAATTTGAGATTTGTTTTACATGAGGATTAACATATGGAATTTAAAACAGTATGAACTCCTGTGTTATAATAGGTGCTACATATTTGATGAGGAACATTTATGCGTGGCAGGAGTAAGATGTAAAGGGGGGGAATATAGAAAACAATTTGTCTCTTGAATGAAAGATTGCGAAATTCTAATCATAAAAATGGGCGAATTGCTAAGATGGCGAGAAACTTGATCGTATACCCACTGAATTTATCTCATGTAGTCACATGATTATATTTGAGGATACCTAGATTAAGCGGAAGGATAGATGATGGCGGTTATTAGTCTCATTGTGAAACATTGGGACAGGGAAACATAAATATATCAATGATACTTACGTCACTGGTCAAAGATGTTTGAAATATTGATTTGTCATAGACCCAAGAAGTACAATTAGTTAGCGTCTGTTTTCTGATTACACCTTTGTTGACATAAATATGACATTTACTGTACACGAGTTTCCCATCCACTATCTCTTCAGGTATGTATTTTTTAATAAGCTTTGCATGGGCTTCGCTTTGAACTTGGTAAGTGTCGTTTGTCAGTTCAGGAATAGCACACCTTTATAAGAAAAATAAAAATGATTTTAATAATAATAATAATAATAATGATAATGTATTCACAAAGCAATTTACTTCTCCTGTTCAGGAAGCAGCAAATTAAGTTCTAACTATCAAACCTGAAATTTCTGAGATTCAAGCAGAAACGCACCGAGATGTCATTGACAAGATCTCATATCTAAATGACCATGATGATATTCTATTGAACGAAATTTTGAACCATTGCCTTTTTATGACAACCAATTTTAATAACAGACGGTCGCTACAATTATCCCTGTTGTGATAGGGGCATTGGGTATGATATAGAAGGGTACCGAAAATCATGTGAGTAAAATTCCTGGACACATCAGTATCTGAGAGCTACAGAAGATTACTTTGTGCGGAACTGTACATATCACCTCAAAACTCTCTCCATTTAAATGAAACTTCCTAAATGTGAATAGATAACTGACTTTTACTTACGGGGACTTGGTAATTAGGCACTTAAAATTACTCCCTGACAAGATGATACCTCGCACAATAATAATAATAATAATTGTAATGGACAAGAAGATTAACAAGGCCTTTGCTAGCTTCTGTTTAAATGTGATGAAAAATAACATTGTGCGGAATTGTGTGGCCACCATCAGACCCACTCTATTGTCGAATGGTTTGGGTTAAATGTTGAATAAATTGATTCAACTTGTGGTAGATACCAGTTACTCAACGCGGTGTCGTTTGTCCTGCAACTAAATGTCCTTTATCCAACTACCATACTCTCTGAGTAGGCTGGGTCAGAATAATAATAATAGCAAACCCATAAAACTAAATGATAAAAATAAATGATTTCTTGTTACAGGAATAAGATTCAGAATTGACCATGTGGCTATTTCTTAATCTTAAGACAACTTTTTTCATTTTACAGTCTAATAAAAAAAAAACTGAAATTGGATGCAAATCAGTTGAAAGCTGATATTATTCACAACTATGTATCAATAAAACGAGAAAATAAGAATAAAAGTGTTAATTTGTGAAATACTGTCATTCAACTGACAATTTAAAAGTTCACAATTTATCCAAAGCGACCAGTAGGAAACTTTCACTATGAATTTTACACAACGAGATAAAAGTTACAGCCTCGTCGAAAATAGCACAATAAATGTATAAACTGAAAATTGCTTTACCTGTGTTTTATGTCAGAAACGAGGAAAACCATACAGCCGATTTGTAGCCCATTAAATATAGTAGCGATATACAATAGATTGAGGATAAATATTTGATAACGCCCACATCCACCAACAGCTTTGATCACTTTCTCGTACTTCATACTTTACTTGAGATTTCTCTACCTTATTTTGAAATCCTCCAAACTTTGCGGATAAGTCGCTTATTTAATAAATACAAACATCGAAATATGTGGGTGAATCTATCTCTGTGTTTTTTTCGGTCGTCAAGTAACTTAATGTATAAAACCGTCAGCAATCGGTTTGTGTCTATGAACTAATCAGCAGCAGCATCAACATTCGTAGAAGTTACACGAACTAGTTTCAGCGGTTATTACGATTTTAGTGAATCAGATATTAACTGGGTCATCTGCATTTTTGTCACTGTGACATACTTATTTGTGTTACCCATATTCATCAAAAATATTATTGTCAACAAGATTAACAGGTTTTGATTAAACTTATAATGTTATATATAATTACAATCACACTGATGCATCAAGAAGAAGCTAAGAAGACAAATATTATTTGTATTAATCCTATCCTATATATATATATATATATTGGGTATGTTATCACAATCAATATCAGGGATAGAGCGTATGTAAATATAAAAATATGGCCTGTTCATTGCGTTCAAGCATGAAACTGTCCATTGACACTCTGTGTTGACATGAATGTCTGCTTATATATATATATATATATATATATATATATATATATATATATATATATATATATATTGGGTATGTTATCACAATCAATATCAGGGATAGAGCGTATGTAAATATAAAAATATGGCCTGTTCATTGCGTTCAAGCATGAAACTGTCCATTGACACTCTGTGTTGACATGAATGTCTGGTTTATATATATATATATATATATATATATATATATATATATATTGGGTATGTTATCACAATCAATATCAGGGATAGAGCGTATGTAAATATAAAAATATGGCCTGTTCATTGCGTTCAAGCATGAAACTGTCCATTGACACTCTGTGTTGACATGAATGTCTGCTTATATATATATATATATATATATATATATATATATATGCTTGTTTTTTACACTCAACTTTTTTCTCTATATATTCTTGTTGCATAGGCCCCTGGTGGAAGTGGTTTTATCTCATATTCTCTCGGTCGGCGATCGCTAATTGTTTTGGTCCAGCAATTAAAGACTTCTAACACAGGGAATTTAATTTTAACTGGGGAGCCGTTTTCTACATCGCAGGTAAGAACCAACTCACCGAACCCTTTCTTCTATCTATCTTTTCTATACTAGTTCAGCCAATCAAAATCGACTTCCCTATTATGGCTCACATCTAACTCCGAATGTCAACCTCCGGAAGTCGAAGCAAAGATACACTTCCCCTAAAAATAATAGTCTGTATTATTTAACGCTCTCTGTTTTCTCTACCAATCTGTATATTCTATAAGGTAACGAAAAAGTCTTTTTTAAGTCGTGTGGGATGAAGTTATAACTGATACGCAAATGAATGCGTCACGTGCCGGGAAAGCGGTAGGATGAGAGTGGGAGCATTATTCTTGATCAATGCAGGCGCGTTGCGCACACATGTCAGTCATAGCTCGAGCAGCGGCGAAGAAACATGGCGGTATCGAAGCATCTCATTCGGGATTGTTTGCTTTATGACTAAGATTGGCTTGTGCGTAGTCGCATCAAGCCGCCGAATACGTCAAGCCTTTGGAGATAATGCTGTGAGTAAACGCATCACCTGGCATTAGTTCAAGAAGTTCAGGTCGGGAAATATGTCCCTTTGTTATGGACTCCTCAGTGGTCGGCCACAGGTTCTGGATGATGACGCTTTGAAGGCGGCCATAGTGGAAGACAACAGCTAAACCTGTGGTGAAATTGCTTCCAGCTTTCTAAAAAACAGACATCACCTGTACCGCATAGGAAACGCCTACAATTTGTGCAAATGGGTAAACCACACACTGTCGAAAGCCAACAAGCAACAACGAGTGACAGTCTGTTTCTCATTTCAGAGAATCGTACAAATATTTGATTGAGTGCTCACCAGTGACTAAATCTAGGTCTTGTATGACACTTCTAAGCGTGCAAGCCATTGGTTGTCACCACGGGATTCTGTGCCTCACACCACAAGACAACCTCTACACCCACACAAGATCATGTTCTGTATCTGGGGGATTAGTTGACAAGTGGCGCACTATGGGCTGCTACTAACTGCCAAATCATCACTGCGGACCTTTACTCGCAACTATTGGAATGTGTGCAACAGACACTAGCAGAAGGAACCAGCTATGGTTAATCGCAAGGATGTACTGTTCCTCCATGACAATGCCAGGCCTCGTATGGTGCGGGTGACCAGAGATGCCATACGGTGACTTGGCTGAGAGACACTGTGCTATCCACTTTACTCTTCGGCCCTTGCATCAAAAGATTACCACCTCTTTCATTCCCTGGACAACCATCTTCGTGGGAAATACTTCGCAAATGAAGCACTCACAGACTTCTTTGCATCCAAGACAGCTGATTCTTACCACCAGAACATCAACTGGAGGCACGTTCGCAAAAGGTTCTAGATTTCTATGGGCATTACTTTGAGGATTAACTGTATGTCAAATTTGCTGTAACACTTTCTAATAAATCGGAAACGACAAGGATATTTTTGGTTACCTTATAATTATCTTTCCGTGTATAAATTCTCCATTCTATTTTTCTCTCTGTTACCTTATTTGAAGTTATTCTTGGTTTTATTTCGATCATTTGCAACTTTTTATTTCTATTGTCTTTTTTTTACATTCGTTTTTATTCCGCGGCTAGAGGAAGTTGCTTGTTGGATGAGGGTTGTCATTTTAGTATTTTACTAAGCGATGTATATTATTAGTACCACCCTCCTTTCTAGGCATCATCCAGTAATTAGTATTGTGTTCCATTCTACTGGTCGTCGTTCGTGCTAGTGGTAACTTCAGATTCAAATGAGAATTGAATAGGTAGTTATTAAAGAATAGATCATTTATTCTCATTCGCTATGATTGTTTTACTTTATTTACCTTATTATTGACAAGAGTTTGCAAAATTCTAAAATGACATACACTGTTGAGGGAAATTATTGGCACGACCTTATTGTATTTTTTAAATTATTTGAAATAATTACAAAGATAATTGAATAATTAAACTTTTCTGAAAAACAGAAGTAATTCTACGAATTCGGTTGTTTTACTTTTTTTTTATGTGCTATGTCCCTTCAGGATGCGAACGATTATGGCTTTCCACAACTTCCCGTCTTAGTCACTCTCAGTAAGGTTTGGCTTTTTGCTATCCTACATAGTCCATTTTCTGCCAACCATTTACACAAATTTGCTAGATAGCCTATTCGCCGCTTTCTTCAGTCCCTTTGTAAGTATCAAATTTCCGAAGGTTTCATTCCTCATTATTTATCCAAGTAATTTCAACCCTCTTTTTCTATTTCTAAGTACACTTTATATTTTTATTTTCCTTAAAACTTCGTCGTTACTCGCATGTTCACTCTATGGTATTCTCAGCATCCTTCTGTAGAATCAGATTGCTATTGACTCAAGTCTCATCTTCGTCTGTGAGGTGATTGTCTAGCATTCTCTGTCATATGGAAGAACCAATATTACATCACGATTCATTCCTTTTTTTCTTATTATCTAATAAAATGTTCCTGTTTTTTAATACTTTGATTAGCTTTTGGAAGGTATATTCGCTATTCCAATACGCCTTCTGATTTCCATGTCACGTTTTCCATCCTCTTTTAAACACTTTATACATATTTAAATTGTCGTACTTGCATGATTTATCATTTGTAATCCGTATTTTGCATTTTGGACTATTTCTCTTGCTGACGAACATAGATTCTCTCTTTTTGCAATGGATATTCAGTTCTTTCTTCTTATCATCTTTTACAACCGTCTGTGGGATTTCTTGCAGTTTCCTTCTTGTGTCTGCCATCAGCACTCTATTACTGCATATCTTATGTTGTTAAGATTGTGTACGCCAATAATAACTCTTTGTAGGATTTCTAATTCTCTGAAGATGACCTCACAATAAATGTTGAATAAATCTGATGAGAAAAAATGTATAATAAAAAAAATCAATACCTAATAATAAGTCAAAGAAAAATAATTGCACGTCAATAATTAATATGGAATATAATAGTCAATTGTGCATAATATTTTACTATAACGTTTTCTAAACGTTATTAGAAAACTTTTAACTGATATTCCTTTGGTAGAGAGACACCCACAAATTTCTTTATATTTTCTTGTAGGAGAGAGTTCCCCAAATAAATTTCTTGCCAATTTGCCTCAAAAGTTTTACTTTTGACTCATCTGACCGTAATTATTCTCTCAGAAATAGTTCCTGAAAACGTTCAATTGCAAATGCTAAACATGATTTCAACGAGTTCGCCTTTAGAATCAGTGTCTTACATGGTCGGTATGCTTGTTGTTGTGCTTTACAAGGATCTAATAATAATATTGCTTGTTAATTTCCATTTAGCAGATTGAAAATTATTTCTGAGTTACTTGATTGTATTATTTCGATTATTTTTAACTCTTAGAAAGTTACATCATGCTCTGACCGACTGCTTGTTCTTACTGTGTACAGATTTATTATTTTTTTCTCGTGAACTTTAGATTTTGTTGCGTTCTGTCATATCTGGCTGGATTATCCAGGAGGATTGTCGTATGTCTTTTGAATATTGTATTCAGTATTGTTGAATATTGCACTTCCTTTACGGTAGGATAATTTAATTTTATGTAAACTAAGTGAAATTACTTCTACTTACAGCCATATCATGTCAAAAAACTGGTTCTTGTCGGATCACCGAAATTAAGCAATGTCGAACTTGGTGGCCGCTTGTGTGACAGAGAGAGTTTGGGAAACACACAAAAAACTCACACACATATATATTTTATTTTTTTTTAATTGAAATTGGAGTGGATTGAACAGCGAAATTAGATCAGAACAATTTT